AATTTTTTTATTGTAATTTTAAGATTTTATTACAATTTTATATATTATTTAATAATTATTTTTTATTTAATTAAAAATTATAATATTATATATATATTTATTTAATAATATATAAAAATTATATATATAATAATATAAATAAATTATCCATATAACACGAATCATTTCTCTCACCGCCATGTAGATTAAATACGTCCACATTTTCTTTTATTTCGTGTTCGTTGATCCTGTTCTCATTTTTCTTTTTAACTTTACCAGCCTTTTTTTTTTTTTTTTTGGATAGTACTAGATTTGGGTGATTGGTTAGATTGCATAAAGGATTTAGCTTATAACAAAGTGATTGTGTTTGATTCCTTTTGTTTGTTTTTTCTTTTTTTCTTTTTTTGCCATGTTTGATTCCTCTTGTTTAGATGGACGGTTTTTTGGTACCTTTTAATAGTTGTATATATATATTGCCTATAAATGAATATTATATATAATAAAATTTTTTGTTGGATATTTAACGTGCCAAATTATAAATTTAGTAAAATATATGTGTTAAATTCTCTAAAATTTTAATTTTTTATTATTTTTTTAAAATAAAATATTTTGATCATGAAAAATTGAATATTTATAACTAGTCTATTGACCCTATAACATGCTAATTACGTTGAGACCATGGAATATTCTATGAGAAACAACTTTTATAATTAGTTTCTCCTATAAATACTAAATATTAATCAAGGAGGTAAGAAACAAACTTTTATAAATATATTATATTAACACTCCAAAACTTAGATTTTTTTCGAAATTATTGTAAAATGATACGAGTGTAAGTAAAGTTTTTGTTTTTTATTTTCTTAAAAATATATAAAATATTAATTAAAAGAAGTTATAAATTTTTAAATTGACTTGTAAAAAGAAAAATGTCAGAACACCTATGAATTAATTAATTAATTATTATTAATAAATTTTTTAATTTATTATCAATATTTAAATAATATTATAGATATTCCTATACTTCTTTTCATGTATATTAACTCATAATATAATTTTTTATAATTAAAATAAATGTTAAATATATTTCACATATTTTTTGAATAATTTTACAAAAAAATGAAATTTAAACTGATGCAAAAATAAAAATATTTAAATATAATTTCACATCACTATACTCGAAAGTGAAGTGCATATTTCATATATTTTTAAAATATTAAAAAATTAAATAATCTATCATCACTAGTGGCCTGTTCCAACTTAATGACATTAAACTCTGAATTAAGGTTTTTATCTTTGGATCTTATGTTAAAACTGTTCACTCTCGCGTGGATGATATGTTTAAAGTTTATAAAACTCATTTTTTCCTCCCTATGTACACATGTAAATAATATCAAAATTGTTAAAAAAAACAATAATAATCTACCATCACAGTCACTGCAACATCAACTGACACTGCAAAGCAAATCCCAGAGGAGGCCCGTATTTATCGTGGGATGCATATTGCAAATACTAAAAGAAGGTCAAGGGGTCTGGATGTGAAAAGCAAAGAAACGATCCCATGAGGCTCCCCAGGAACTTCAGCCGATCAAGTGATCGTGTCGGGACGCGTGACAAGGACGTGCAACCCACCATCTCACGCACACACGGCCCCACACATTCAAAAACCCTAATTTCCAATATCATAATCTCTATCTTCTTCTTCCCAATCCTTCTCACTTCTTTAAGAAGAAAGAGAAAAAAGAAAATTTTAGAAAAACCCACACCTCCATAAGAATTCCAACATTTCTCCAGTTCAGAAAGCCCAAAAAAGAAAAAAAAAGAAAAAAAAAAACCCTGCTTTCTTCTTTGTTTATATCTTTCCCTTCCTCTGTTTCCTCACTCGATCCTTTACACTTCTCATCTCTTTCTTAACTTTTGTAAAGAGTTTACCTCAATCTTCACCCTTTGTCTCTTCTCTTTTGAATTGTCAAACAAGTTAATTCTTCCACTTCGAGTGATTCAAATCCTCAACCTTAACCCCGGAATTAAGAGAGAGATTTGAATCTTGAACTTTACCCCACAAATTGATTCATTTTTCTCTATCTCTCTACTTTGTTGTTTGATTGAAACACGGTTTTTTTTCTTTTTTCTTTTTTCTTGTTGATCAGTAGCAGCCATGGCGAACCCGTGGTGGGCGGGGCAAGTGGGTTTACCGGGACTTGACACTTCAGCTACTTCATCATCATCTCCCATGAAGAAACCAGATCTGGGTATATCCATGACCAACAATATTGGAGAGAGCAGGAGTGGAGGTGGGGATGAGGAAGAAGAGAAGGAGCATAGTGATGAGGCTAAAGAAGGTGCTATAGAAGCTGCCACGCGCCGCCCCAGAGGGCGTCCGCCGGGTTCCAAGAACAAGCCAAAACCACCTATATTTGTCACTAGAGATAGCCCTAATGCTCTCAAGAGCCACGTCATGGAAATTGCAAACGGCTCTGATGTTGCTGAAACTCTAGCTCAGTTCGCCAGAAGGCGGCAGAGAGGTGTTTGTGTGCTCAGTGGAAGTGGGACGGTGACCAACGTGACACTTCGACAGTCTTCTGCTCCAGGTGCAGTCATGGCACTACACGGTAGGTTTGAGATTCTGTCCCTAACCGGTGCATTTTTACCCGGGCCAGCTCCACCCGGCTCAGCTGGTCTAACCATATACTTAGCTGGCGGTCAAGGACAGGTGGTCGGAGGTAGTGTTGCTGGGTCCCTGGTGGCATCAGGGCCTGTGATGATTATAGCCGCAACATTTTCTAATGCTACTTATGAGAGACTGCCTTTGGAGGAGGAAGAGGAGGGGGCTTCTGGTGACCAAGGCCAAGGACATCTTGGTGGAGGTGGTGCTCCTGGCAGTGGTTCACCGCCAGGGATCGGTGGTGGTGGGAATCAGCAAGGCGGAATGAGTGAAGCTCCGGGATTGCCGGTTTACAATTTACCACCAAATTTGGTTCCTAATGGAGGACAGATGAACCACGAAGCTTATGGTTGGACGCATGGGAGACCACCTTACTAATTAGAATGAATTATGAATTTGGAATTTGGAATTTCCAGGTACCTTTTTTTTTTTTTTTTGGAATTTTGTTGTGGGATAAAAGGAGTAAAAATTAAGATGAAGACGAAACCCCATCTCAGACCATATTTGTATATTTCAGAGCAATTACATGTGCTTAATTTCACTTGCTTTAGCAGAATAAGATATGTTCCTAGATCTCGTCTTTAATTATCATTGATTTTTCTGTTTATTAATTTATCAATCAATTACACTTAAGTTGTTTCATCATTTCCCATACTAAAGGAGACATGAACTTACACTTGGTTCAAAATGTAGATATTTAAACCACTCATTCTGACTCCTAATTTTATAATTAATTAGTATCAATTTGAACTAATTAAGCTCCCATTGGTGGTAATTTCCATAATATAGTCAAAGAAAAAGTGATGGCGGATGTGTATAATTTATAGGATAGTAAGTTTTTGTAGTTCATCTAAAATGGGTTTTTTTTTTTTTTCTTGGTTATGTTGTTGATCTAAGAGGGTATATGGTACTGAAGCACATTCAATAGGGTAATTCCTAGCTTTACAAAGAGATGATTCCTGCGCAGCCAGAATCTGGTACTGAGACTGATCAACAACAGTACTTTTGTCCTACCCCCATGAAAATTTTTTGTTTGAGGTTTAATTTCAGATTTCCAACTCCATATATATATATATATATATATATATAAAAGAGCACAACAATTCAATGATCTCCTACCATAAAAAAATAAATGATTTGGTTGGTTCTCTCGCCCGAGCTCTATGCATTGATTCGGATTGATAAGGAACAATATTACTTTTTTTATAAAAATAATAATAATAATAATAATGAGTTTCGAGTTTTTTTTTTTCTTCTTCTTCAATTGAGGAAAGGGGGATAGTTTATATAATTTTTTTTTATAAAATAACAGAAAGTATATGTACAAATTAAATTGAAGATCTTGAACTTGGAGTTCCTAAATCTTACATTGACTTCATTAGCAAGATGTTAGGTGGTCTTGATCACGAGGTTGTATATATTAGATCATTTTATTAACTAAAGTTTTCATTAGACTTTCTTTGATCATATTAAGAGATTATTTGATTAGAGTTTTTTTCATGTTTAAATAAAAGAAAATGTGTATGTTAAATATGATACAAAACTTTTAGATGGTTGGAATTTCTCAGGCCATCAAATAGAACATAAATTACTCTATATATTTTCAATTAGTTTAATTTTAAATTAAAAATTCATGTGTTTAGACCTAAATAGACTTTCATAGGATATAATATCATAAAAAATTATTATATAGACTCTTAATTAACCTGCGAAAAATTCAGTTTCTACAGAAACCTAAAACTGTTGTTTCAAAAACTACCCAGACAATCACTTACAATGATCATACATGAGAGGTAAGTTAACTAATTTCCTTCTATCTTTATTTAAAAAGGAAACTTTTGCAGTCAGGATGGTTACAGAAGACATTGTTCATGACATGTGCTCATCAAATTTTTAATAATAGAAAAAGGGTTTCGAGTGAAGAATATAATAATTAAGTAGTCATCCCAGACAGCTAGAAAGGCAAAATTTCTCAAAAAAATAATATTAGAGAGAGAGACTGCATTTCCTGTGTGCTTCACAGAGTGCTGATGGTTCTGGTGACCGCCTGCTGCATCTTCCTTGAAGTATGAACCCCCAAAAAGAACCTATCTGATTGCTGTTCCCATCAAATTTTCAAGGGATTTTCTTCTTCTTGTTTAATTTAACAAAAGTAGTTTTTGCATTGTGGTTGGCTTGCATTAGATTCCAAAACCTAAACCTTCGAGTAAGACTCATTGGACGAGGACCAAGATGTTGTAGTTTGAAATATGCCGGACTGCGAAGTATTGTACTCTTAATGCATTATCAAATATATAGAAGGGAACTAATTGGCAAGGCCACTGTCTTATATTGGTATGGAAATGTTCTTTTGATATTCAATTCAGAAGTACATCAATCTTTCTTTTAGTTTTTGATCTGGCTACAAAAGTACATCAATTAGTCAATACAAATTAGAAAACAAAATAAGAGAAACCTCTAATTTTAATTTTTTTTGTATATATGTCATGGATACATTTCCATCACATACCTAAGCAATTAAAATTGCACCTAGCCTCGTGGCCCGATGGCTATACACTTGATCGCAAAGTGTACCCTCCAACCTTAGAGTTAGGGTTTGTATCCCCCCTCTCCAAAAATTGTAACCTATTCAAAAAAAAAAAAGCAATTAAAATTGAGAGGCTGAGGAGATCTTGGAAGGTTTTAGGTTCCTTGATCTATCCAAGTATCCATCCATCCACTGCATATAAGAGAAGAAAAGTTGACTAATCAATATGAACATGAATGATTTCATGATGACGCAGGGAGAAAATATATACCATCTCTCTAAGATTCATAAACTAAGGCTCCGTTTAGTATAATTAGTATCATTTTTGTTTTTAGTTTTTAGTTTGGATTGTAAAACACTTAGCAACAAGAATTGACAATAGGAAATCAAAAATTAAAATTTGAAACCTACCAATAATTTGTTTACTACAAGTTTTTGAAACTTCTAACCAAATCTGGAAACTTGTTTGATTTATTAATCATGTTTATTTTAATCTAGTGTTGCTAAATTATGGACAAGCAAAATTAAAATCTAAAAACAGAAGCAATGGTAAACCGCCTAAGTGAATATAAGTTGCAAAGGACTCATGTATACACATGAGGTTGCATAATCATTTTGAGATAGAATTCACAGAAGTACTTGAAGAAAAGTACTCCTTTAATTAACACTAACTTTACGGCTAGGCTTGAGTATAATGTTCCGAAAAGAGGAGTTCATTGGACACTCAAAGGATCCTATATGGGGTTTTCAGCAACATGAAGGACCCTCTTCACATGGATTCACATGGACATTGTTAATGAAAACCCTAAACAATTTTACCTAGTTATTTGCACACAACATTCCAATGGAAAAAGCAGCCCAGTGATGTTAATGGAGCCCACCAAGGGTTTTAATAATAAAACTCTCCTCCATTAAATTAATCTTGATCCACAATAACAGCCAAATAGCTTCTCCCTTTTCTCAAAACCCATTTGTCCTTTTGAGTGTAGTTTCACCGGCATGTGTAACCCTAGCTATCTTTAAAAAGTTGAAAAACAAGACAATTAAACTATAATACTTTGAAAACGAATCCGGGAAATTAGCATTAGGGAAAATGAGGACCACCTAATAAAGCCTAAACTACATAAGGTGGAAAGCAAAGCTAATATTTGTTTATTAAACATCGATAGTGGGGAATCATATGCATCATCAACAATGGAGGAAAACTAAGAGAGCATGTTATCCCTTTCCAAGTCTAAATTGATCATGAAATATTTTCTTTGCAAGTACCTGCCGTGGAGTACACGTCTAGTGCGAATTAGGTGCCATTTGACCTAACTTTTTCGACAGGTTTGTGCGTCCTCTCTCCGGTTAGATCATCTGTTGCCAATCAAAGTACATCATGTTCGCCGCAGTGATGCCATTTTTACCATTTCCTAAAAGAAGCAGTTGTGTTCATCAAATTTCCAATAATAAAATATACTTTGTGACACAATCTTTGAAGAATCCTATTACTACTAGCAGGCTATCCAACAATACTAGCTCAGCAACTTGAAAGAGACATAAAAGTGTGAATTATACAATAAATAGGTGTGTTTATTAAACTAGGATAAGTCTACTCAAATAAAGATTCAAAGTCATGACAAGTATATAACATCAAATTTAATCAAATTTGCAGGTCTCCAACAAAAATAATCCCTTTCTTTTACTCATATACATTAAGAAAAGGAGGCTCAATCAACTTGATTTTCAACTTTTAGAGGAAGAAATCCTTCTCTGCATTTAATGAAATCAATAATTTGATTAAACATGTAAAATTTGATCATTGAACTTGATAAGGATGGATATGGTTGGTCAAATGTCCATTGTCCAAGAGTTTATAGGCTAGAAGGAATATCGTACTTATTGTGTGAAAGCAAATGTTTTTGACAGCCGCAGGTGCCAGCTAGATATATGATGGTTATATAGGAACTGGGGATGGCACCACTCTTTTAAAAGACAGGAAATTTAAAGAAATTGATACAAATGATTCAGAAAATCAGGCCCAAAGAAATAGTGAGAAAAATACTATATAATGGTACTCAAACTAGCCAAGTGTTCATAGCTGTGAACTAAATCTTACCATATCTTGCAGACAGATGAAATATTCAGCTATGATATGCATTTCCCTCTTTAATTCATTTCAAAGAAGGATTAATCAGAATCTTTTTGTTGATGCATCAGAAGCTGGATTCACCATGCCTTTGCCTGTTGGAATATTGTCCAAGACCAACCAAAAAAAAAAAAAAATTCAGAGAAGAAAAAATTTAGGGGCTGTGGAAAATCAGGACGTCCTGGAGTTCAGGATGTCCATCACAGCCGTTGGTTTTGTGGGCCCCAATCAGGGACCCACTTATTTGACGGTTGTGATGGATGTCTTGGTGCCAAGACATCCTGATTTTCATATTTTCCAAAAATTAATACCTAAAAGTTACATATAATTTGTTCATGGGTTAGAAATTAAGAAATTGATATCTAAGAATTTATAGGGTACAAATGGTATTTTGCAAAACAATGTGGGGTCATTTGATAATTACCCAAAACACCTGCCCCTTATGGTGTAATATGCAAAAATGAACAACGGTAAGAAAAAGACAAGGTTGATACTGATTTGAAGGAAAGTACGTACCACCCAAAAGCCTCATCTCGTTAGACTTTTTGACTGAGTTCTCTACAAGACGTACACATGGTGCCAGGAGAGCAAAGTGTAGACCCTCCCAAAGACCTGTCTGGGTTGGAACTCAGGAAATTGGCGCATTCCTTAGCTGTCAGAACTCTAGAAGAATGCATGAATTAGGTGAAGGGAATGGGACAGCACAATTGCTGTGGTGATTGACAATTAGAATTTTGCATGAAATATGAATGAACTAGTTTTATCAGTAAACCACAGAGCTCAGATTTCCATCAATATTTTTTACAATCCATTAATATGTAAAATTTAATGTGCTAAAATTTA